AAAACTGCATTACGCCATAAGTGCTTAATTAAATCAGGGTAGGTCCATTTATTTTACATTTAATTAACAACCTTGCTTAATGTACAAATCACTTAAGTGACAAACAAGTTCACTCCATTCGAACTTTACATTTACAGTTGCATTATTATTACGTTCATTACGGTTGTGCGTATGACGCCATGTGCGTATGACGCCATGTACGCAGGCGCGTAGGATGTGACGCCCTGCTGACGTGTATCTAGGGAAACAGAGGAAGTAGATGGTGCTTCTTTGACAAATGTTGTGAGAGATCCAGTGGGAAAAGACAGTGGCATGTCCACTAAACACTGGAATAACTGGAGTAAGAGACTGGAGCGCGACCACAGACACAGGTGCAGTTCCTCACACACACAACCGACTGTATCAGCTGTGATGTTTATGTGCCGTTGTCTGAAGGCGTCTCTACCGTGTCGTGTTGACAGGGAATGTGACTAGAAAACTGATCTGAGGAGATGAAGCTGCATTGAATGAAAACCCAGAGAATCCAGCGTTTATATTGTGTATAAGCATACAGTGATGTATGAACTCTAAGATGTGTTTATAAGTCTCTGTGATTAATATGTGTTGTAACTGAAGGGAGTCTGTTTGTATATGCCATCAGAAAGAAAATCTCAGATTTAGCTTGGACAAACTGTATTAAAGCGATAGTTCACCCCAAAACGAAAATTTGCAGAATATTTACTCACCCTCAGGCCATCCAAGATGTAGATGAGATGTTTGTTTCTTCATGATATGGAGAATTTAGCATCGCTTGCTCACCAATGGATGCTCTGCAGTGAATGGGTGCCGTCAGAATGAGAGTCCAAACAGCTGATAAAAACATCACAATAATCCACACCACTCCAGTCCATCAGTTAGTGTCTTGTGAAACCAAAAGCTGTGTGTTTAAATCAATCATTAAGATGTTTAAACTTTTTTTTTGGTGCTTAATCTGTGCATATGTCTTGCTTGATTCAGACAAGACCATTTTTGTTTTTTTGTTTTTACTGGAGAATACAATATTATGGATAGAGGACTGGTATTTTAGCTGGAAGCAATGGTTTTTTTAAAGTTAAAAATGGGATTGTTTATTGCAAACATGCAGCTTGTGGATTACTGTGATGTTTTTATCAGCTGTTTGGACTCTCATTCTGACGGCACCCATTCACTGCAGAGCATCCATTGGTGAGCAAGTGACGAAACAACATACGTATTCTGACCTGTACTAATTAAAATATATAATAGAGACATTATTTTTTGCTCAAAAAAAAGAAAAAGAAAAATAGAATTAAACAGGACACATTCTAATGTACGGGAAAAAAATGTAAAGCTGTTTTAACTTGTATTGTTTTGTTTTGATGCTTAAAAACCCCTTCTTTGACCCAAATTCATTCATACAGAACATTTGCACACTGTGCACATTGTACACACCACTACAGAAATACTACGAGTGCAAAGTAGGAATGAGTCCTCAGCTGAACTTCATCACACCGGTGTTGACTGTGCTGCTACAGCTCTATTTGGTTGTGTATTGGTTTTGTGGAATTGTGTGTAACAATCAGTAATTTACTTTCAGACCAGAGTCCAGAGATCACAGAGCAGCATGGGTAAACGAAGAGCTCCTGAGCTGTACAGAGCCCCCTTCCCTCTCTATACTGTGAAAATCGACCCCCAGACCGGCCTGATCATCACCGCTGGAGGAGGCGGCGCGTCCAAGACCGGGATCAAGAACGGAATGGTACTGTCTCTAACAAATATCAGCTGCCATTCAGAAATTACCTGCATGGCCGTCCACATGTGCACAGCTGCTCGATTACATAATCTCAATTAATTAAACAGTTACATATTTGTAATTGATGTTCTTTACAGCATTGAATCAGGTGCTTTATATTCTTGAATCCACCGAGTTATGAATAGCCTTGTTTGGCTTCAAATAGAGGAATTCAGTCATTAATGATTATCTGTTATTTTATAGAAAAATAATATTTGTTAAGGACAATAAACAAAGGTTTTATTTAGAAGCAGCACTTTTAGGGCCTGATTTCTGCGATGCGGAAAGCACAGACGGAATCGCTGAATCCTGTCATAAAAATAGGATTTAGTATAACACAAAATGTTATGCAATTTGGCACATTTTTCAATGAATAAATCAAAAGTGATTGCGAGTCTGCATGTATTATTATGTATAACAATATTACTATTGTACAGTAGAATGTCTGACAAAAATAATAACACAACATTACATTGTTTAAGGAATATCACAATTTATTTTTCCCCATTTAATTTAATTTTAAACTGTAAACCTCTGTTGTGCAGCACTTTGTTTGCCAAAAAAATGAAAGGAATTGTTCAAAATTCATTTGATTACATTTTAAAAGATTAATTAAATTAAGTTTTGTGCATTCATTTGATTACGACAGGTTTCGATCATAAATTTGTCTTAAAACATAAAACACAGAATCCAGAAACATTTAAAACAGACAGAATTAAAAATAAATAAATAAATAAATAAAAATAAAACGCATCAGATAGGGCACTGTTATTGTGAAAGTTTTAATAAATTATAAAATTGTTTAAATTAAAAAAAAGTTTTAAGAGTTCAGTTGGTTTGACATCCTTTTTGATTAATAACATTTAGTTAAACCATTGAAATGGAATCCAGAAAAATTAAACCGGAAAACACAGAATTTGGGAGAATTAAGCTGCATTTGGGAACAAATATAACTGATTTCAGTGGGCCCTAAATGTATTTTATTATTTTTAAACTTTCAATGAACTGTTGTTAAATTGTATAAATTGTAATTGTTTGTAAATGTTTCTTTGGCTAGATTTCAAATTGGCTTTTTGATTACTACATTTGAATTGAACAATTACAAATGGAATCCAGAAAAATGTAAACAGAAACCCCAAAATTTGGGAAAAAATTAAATGGATTTCACAGGGTCCTACATTATGTACCATTTAGCTGTTGAAAGTGACAAAAGTGGAAGTGACGGAGTGTTTAGTGTTACAGTTTTGTTGCAGCATTTCCTGAGTCTGGATCTGGTCGGCGGTGTGCACAGCGCCACCTTGCAGCACACTCACGAAACGGACACGCGAGCCACCATGTGCATGTCTCTGGGTGGGGATGTGATCGCCGCGGGACAGGACGCCAACTGCAGCTTGATGAGGTTCAGTCACCACACGGCCAAACTGGCAAAGAAACCTGTAGCCAAAGATGGTGAGTAGAGACCAAACCAAAGCACTGACGAGTGAATGGTCATGCATAACCACATTCATGCATCTTTTACGGTGACACCTGTTAACAGGGGCTGGAGACAAAGGTGCAGCCAGGAAGAGAGGCGGGAAAGGCCAGAACGGAGATGGAGGAGGAGACGTGGCCCAGACGAAGGAGGATTCTCCTCAGATGGTGGTGGGGGATGTTGGAGCGGTGCAGGCCGACCTCAGCCCGCAGGACCCCTGTGTGAAGTGTGTGCGCTTCAGCGCCGACCTCACGCTTCTACTGAGCGGCGGGGCCGACGGTTTCGTCCGGGTGTGGGAGGTGAGCGTCTCCCATGAGTCTGTGGCTTTTTTACCATCCCTGCCCTTGTCTCAACTCGCTTCGTCTCTCTCCAGTTCCCCTCTTTGAAAGAGAAGTTCAGCTTCAGAGCTCACAAGGATGAACTGGAGGATATAGACATCAGTCCTGATAACAAGGTGTGTTCTGAGAAGATTTTTGAGAAAAACCAGTTCAGTAATTAAGAACTGCTTCTTCTTTTGTGGATATTGTGTATTTTATGCTGGTTCATCCAAGTAGTGCTGTGTTCTCTTTCTTGATGTAGCACATTGTAACAGTAGGCCGTGATTTCGAGTGCAGCGTGTGGAGCGGCGATCAGCTGGCCGTGGGTTTGTGTTGGCATGAAAACATGCCTCAGATCACAGAGAAGATGTACCGCTACAAGTCATGCAGGCAAGTTGTGCACTTCCTGACAGCTGCCACTTTCCTTGAAAAGGCTTAAAAGGCCTTCAGACAACGGGACATATCAGACAACGGGACATAAACATCACAGCTGATACAGTCGGCTTAAATCATTTTCTTTGTCAGCGGAAAGGATGTGTTGTTTGCCAACCTTAGGACTAGTGCTGGGCGGTATACCGGTTCATACCGAATACCGGTGTTTATTTTTGTTATGATATGAATTTTTAAAATACCGCAATACCGGTGTATGTCGCTTAAGCAACGTTCGGAACGCGACACTCATGATAGTAAAATAGGGCATTCTAAGTCAATATACTGCAGTGTTTACTCTCTCAATCAGTAGAAAATATGGTTAACGCGGTCATGCATGAAAAAAAATACCGTCATGTACCGTGAAACCGGTATAATTTTGAAAAATACCGTGATATAAATTTTTGGTCATACCGCCCAGCACTACTTAGGACTTCAAATTAGTATTATTTTCTTTCAATTTTACATTATTATTATATATTTACACTACCATTCAAAAGTTTGGGGTCAGTAAGATTTTAAATGTTTTTTTTTTTTTTTAAGTACTGTCTTAATGCTCACCAGGGCTGTATTTATTTGTTCAAAATACAGTAATATTGTGATTAAATTTTTTTTTTACAATTTAAAATAACTGTTTTCTATGTGAATATATATTAAAGGGGTCATATGATGCGATTTAAATTTTTCCTTTCTCTTTGGAGTGTTACAAGCTCTTGGTGCATAAAGAAGATCTGTAAAGTTGTAAAGACTAAAGTCTCAAATCCAAAGAGATATTCTTTATAAAAGTTAAGAGTCAGCCACACCTACCTAAAACGGCTCGTTCTAACACGCCCCCACATACCTACATCACGATGTGGGAAGATTTGCATAACACCGCCCAAATGTGCACGCAAAGAAAGAAGGAGTGGTTTCAGGAACAGCAGTAGTGTTGATGCAGCATGTCAGGGAGACGCTGTGTTTCAGTGCGAAAGCAAAAGCACTTTATTTGGCCTTC